ACAAACTCGAAGATGAATCCTCATTGAGAATTTTTCTCTCTTGAGCTGATCCAAGTCTACAACAACGGGTCTCTCAAGATTATACCTATTAAAAACACATTTTAAAAAAAACCATATAAATCAAACCTTCTTATATACGTTTTTGAGTTTAATCTCATTATTAGAAACATTTACCAGCGCGAGTGTATCATATGGTCATCGGCTCGCTTCTCTACCGTGTTCAAAGGAATGTATGTACGGCCAAGTATCTCATCTTTCCCCGGAGCAACTCGGTCCTCGACGGTGAGGACCAAATGGTCTTCGAACGGCTCCGCAACAACAAACAAAAAGTCTTCGTTCCATACGGCACCAAGGGTTCGGGCTTGGCACGGTCTTGTTTTCATGACTTGGTTTCCTAGCTGCGCTTTGACGTAAACATCTGGGAACCTATGCTTCTCTGTCGTAACCAAGTCTTGCGCTTCGACCACATTCACACGCACGTACCATAGACGAGGCGCATGATAGACCTATACATAACCAAACAATAACAGAACAAATTAAAAATTTGTTCTAGATTCAATAAAACCAGTGTAAACTGAGTTTTTTTTTGTTGGAAATTTCAAATTCATAGTCCAACGAACGATGATTTACAGAGTGGAAGAATAAAAAAAAATAAGACTAATACTTAAGTCTATGACTTGACGAGGAAGAAACCGGTAAAAACAGAGCAAACAGAGCGTAAAATGATATTATTGCCTTCAGTTAGTATTTTGAACACAATGTTTAACATTTGTATTTGCCTTTATATGTTAAAACATTTTGTTTATCTTGATAAAAATTAAAGATCACCATTTTTATTAAATTATCTTTCCATAAGTAGTAAATATATTTTTCTTTTTGAGAAATTCCTTCAAATACACCTAATCTAAGTTTTTGTTCCATATATACACTAACATTCTAAAAAATTCTTTCCAGAACATTTTGTATCATATTAATTTTAGTTAGACAAAACATTAGTTAATAAAAAGAGAAGAAAAATAATTTACAAACAAATGTATCAATGACCAAAACTGATCTGATCGAATTATTTGTTTTGTTTAGGATCTCTCTTCTCATTTGATTGTGATTTGTGATTGTGAATCTCTTAGATCTTTGAGGTTTTTTTTAATGATTTCACAATTTAAAGCTCAAAATCATATAATGATAGATGAATCTGATATAATTGAGTGAAAAAACTCAAGAAATCCGAACTAAAACAACAACAATGGTGAAAAAAAGAAATTGGCGGAAATTAGGGTTTGTATGTCGCAGAGGTGAAGAAGGAGATGATCATAAATTTAGGAAGATAATCTAAAGTTTTAGAAAGACTTTCCTAAAATATATAAATTAAGGAAGTTATTACATGTATTTATGAATACTTTCGTAAATCGTATAATTGATTATTATTTTTGTTAATTTATACGACTCAAATTTAAAAAACTCTTCCAAAAAGTCTTTCCACAATTCAGTAAACCTTCCACAATTAAGGAAGTCTTTCCACAATTCAGAATTTTTTAAAAAATTAGGAAAACTTTCATAAACCATATGAAACGATGTTAAATTCTAGTATTTTGAAGACCTTCCTAAAAACATTCCGCAACATTAACAGAAAAAAAACATTTAGGAAGACTTTTCTACAGGGTAAAATCAGAAAACACAAATGAAAAATGTTAGGAATGGAAAAATTTTAGTTTCCCTGTTATATTTGTCTTGAAAACTTATTTTCAATATAATTATGGAAATTGTCCTTTCTTTTTTTCATTAGCACCCAGCCTATACGTTTACCACCTTTAGTTTTTATTTAATTACTAAAGATTATGATTTCATTTGAACAAAGCACATTACTAAGTGGGTAATCATGGTTTCTCAACTCGAATCAGGACATACTATTGTATAACATATCTTAATAATGTCAACAGAAAAAAGAAAAGAGGTCACTGTACCTTTGAACGTAGAACCGCGGAGATAGCTGGAGAACAATCAACAGGCATTGCAGCATCAGAATGCCAAGCATCAGAGAAAGCTTCATCGGCTTGTGTACCAATCCAAACAGCGAGCATTAGCTCACCTTTGATCTTCTCTCCTTTCTTGTCCTCTAATCTATACCATTGTGGAGCCAGAGGACTATCCGGAGGCACACGAAGAGGGATATCGTTAATGTCAAACCGAACAAACCCGACATAATCGTCTTTTAAAAGATCTTTGTCCTTAACCACTACTTCCAACACAGAGGCTTGCATTCGCTCTTTTGCGAATGCAAACACTTGGTTCCATTCTGGATGTTGTCTCTTCTCAAAATGTCTTGTGATCCCTTTGTAGTTCCCTACTTTAACCTACAAAAAACAAATTGTCTTAAAGAAAACCAATTCTTTATTTGTAACAAATGTTATATTTATCATTTAATTACTTTACCTCGACGAAAGGATCAACACTTCCTGTTATATCCATTATAGGAAGCTCACGAGCTTTGACGACGCGGACATAGAGGAAATACATTCTCTCGACCAGATCATAAGTACTCGTAGCGGTTTTGTCTTTGTGGATAACGCGCCCACCAACGACTCTTCCACCACCGAGATTCGGGCTTGTTTCCTTTAGCGCAAAATCCGCAGGCTGAGCCGAAGCAATTGAATGCGCATGGACTAGCTTTGAAGGTGGTGCTGGTTCGGGTCTCATCTCGTCTGCTTGATGCTTTGGAACGTAATGTTGATGATGTTCGTTATGATGATCCGGTTCAGCAGCGGATGAAGAAGATTGATTAGGTCCTTGTGGATGTTGTTGTTGATGTTCTTGAGCATTGTTTGGGAGATTGTAAAATACATGTCGTTTGTCTGATCTATGTTCTGCCTTCATTGCTGAAACTGTCACAAAAATAATAAATTTCATGTAAATCTAGCCGTTGTTGTTGTAGACATTCACAATAATTAAGTAGAAGTGAGTATATATAAATTAAACCTGACAGAACCGAAAAATTTAAACCTAAGTTGAACCACTAGAAGTGACTATTACGTCAATATGGAATAAACCGGACGGAAATATAAAAAAAAAATCAAAATTTAGTGTAATTGGACTCAACTAAATAAAATGAAAATCACATTTTAACTATATAAAGTTAATAAAAACAGATCTTAATATATATTAAATTGATACTATAATTACTATTAAAAAATAAAAAAATAAAAATAAACGAACCAAAGCTTTTATTTTTGTTTAAGCAAAGTTTCGCTAAACCAATCAAAAAAATTCGGGTTTGACTCGGTTATGAATACTCAAAAGCCCAAAACAAGCCAACCGTATCAAAGAAAAATGTTCGGAATAGATAACAAGTGGTATGGTATCAGAGCTGAGAGATTAATAAGCACCTGTTTGGATTGCTGGATCTAAGTTATCTGGATGATTTGTTGAAGCAGCAGAGGATTTTAAAGATGCATCATCCGTTATGTAAACTTTCAAACCAAGCTCACCTCTCACACGAGAGAAGATCCCACGTTTCTCCATAGGAAAGTGAAGAACAACAGCATCAGAATGAGGAACAAAAGAGGTCCCTGAGAGAGATACCTTGCCAAGGAAGGAACATCCATTGGTAGATCTGTTGTGGCTGTAGGCATGAGCTTCAAGACTGATATAGTGAAGTCGAGATGGATCTGAGATGTTGAAGAAGAAACTCTCGTTCCAAACCGGGTTTAGGTCTCGATCTTTGATCGTTGTTCGGTGCTTCTGACCATCGAAATAAAGCTCTACGAAAGCATTTGAGGTTCCTTGACCGTCTTTTGGGAAGAGGTTGTGTGCTCCGATCACGTCCACGCCGAGTTTTAGATTACTCATCATCTTGATCTTCAATCTTATTTTCTTCTGTTAAAGAAACTTTAAAACGATTTTGTTCTGTTAAAGAATCACATCGATTTGAAGATGGAGAGACTTAAAGTAGAACCAAGCTCTCACGACTTCAGTTTTGATTAAAGTGTCTTGAAAGTTGAAACTATATATACTACATTATAATATTATTTTGCACATGCAATCACTAGTAAATGTAGATGTAGGTGTAGGTGGAGAAACTGAAATTATTATCGAAAGTCCAACTTAGATTTCAAGTAAGGGTGGACAGAGTTTCTTGGGATTTTCTTAAATGTTTCTCATCTAGAATAGAATCAGAACCGACTTTACTGTATTCATATACAGTGATGAGAACGTATGGTATAAATTAATATGATATGGTCTTCCTTAACATATTGACAGGAGTTATAAATAGGGTATGGTGTACCTCAACATATGATTTTGACTAAAAACTGAACATGAAACTAAAAATATAGAAATATTAAAAAAATCTTATTAGAATAACTTTTTATAGAGAGTTACAGTTATAGATCGGAATGTATATAAAGAAATTGGTCAACTCTTCTGCCCTCTTTTCTTGATTGGGTGAGATGAACTGAGGAAAACAATTTGATGATGAAAAAAAACCTTATGTTAATAATATCTCCACATAAAATGCAGATGCGTATACAATGGTAGTACATGCATACATATATAATTATATATACTAAGAGTTCATTTGATCCATTATTTAAGGTAAAGATCCTAAAAAAACGCTTATGCCACATGAGTTTGTTTGACTTGTACGAATTGAGGTCATAGCTCTTAAGATCTAAAATTCCACCAATAGTACTTGCTAGGTTTCCGCGAGTGCAGCATATATGTATATGTGTGCATCGCTCATGCATACGTAGTTTGTGAAGTGGGGTTCTTAAGATTTATCAAATCCCATTCAAGGATTTAACTACTGTCCCATCAAAATTGATGGAAACTCTCATTTTCAAGTGCAGTTTATACAAAGACACTAAAACACAAAAACACAAAAGAATATGTTTTTGGAATTCGAAAGAGATATGAGATAAATTGGACTAACATTGTTTTATGCAGAATTTAACTCAAGTTCCTACCCACGAGAAGTTCATCAAAATATTTGTACTTTGTAGCCAACAATGAGAAGGTGGATGAAGTGATGAAACTGTATGAACTACTAAGTTCCATGAACCTGATACACTTTCGTATTCTATTTAATATGTATATATATCTTATTAAATAAAGTTGAATGTATTGAAGTTAGTAATTCACATGATTATGACATTTGTCAGTCTTCCAATTTAGATTTTGATACATGCCGAGTCTTAAAATTAAAAAAAAACTAAGATTTAAAAAGAAATAACCTAAATCACTAATCCTAAAAAACAAAATACTATTAATTACTATATAAAAACATAATCCCTCTCATAATTTTTTACCAAATAAAATAATAATTTTTGAGCTTTATTCTTTAGGTATAATTTTTCTTATTTTCTTGTATTATTACTATTAAATTATTTTATACGATATTTTAAATTTTTTTTATCAATTATGATTCATTCGATATTCTAATTATCCTTTTCTGAATATTGTATTCATCTAAAGTATTTTTGGTATTCAATAATTAGATAATTCAAAAAATAATTATATGAAAATTTGTAACGTAAGATTACAATAAAAAGAAATCCTAAATGCTAATGATATAGCATTAAACGATAATAAGCTCAATAAGGAGGAAGATCAGTGAAAATCATACAGAGAAGTTTTTGATGCAAGTCTTGGAAAGCATAACTTCTTTAGAAAATAAAGAGATTATATACGGAAGATGAATATGAAAAGAAATATAAACTTTGTTTGCTTGGAGAGAGTTAACATATTCAAAGGACTCGAAGTGCATACCTTCTCTCGACTTTCAATCTCTTCTTTATTCAGGTAGGTCTAGCTTGTACGTCAATAACTCACGAGAATGGAGCTGCCCACTTGTTTGTTTCAATGTAAGTAAAACATAACGTACACCATTCTTTCAATTTTCTCATATTGTTTTTTTGTCTAAATCTGAATCAAGCTTTTATCTAATGTTCCTCTAACCATAATATATTCAAGAATAGATCGTCATTAATTTTCTCTTGTTTTTATAATTAGGTATTATCATTTTTGTATGGACTAAGATTTCAGAACAAAATGAGTGTATTTCCTGGCTTTGGTACGTGGGTCAGTCAGAACATTCAACAACCTCTTAAGGTCAGTCTTCATTTCCATCGGTCAAATCAATATAGTTAATTATACAAATTAGATACATAATTCTTTTTTATTGTTGTATGCCGAATCCAAGAGACATGAGAATGTCAAATCTAATTCAGATACTAATAATCTGGAACCATGGTATGAGGATCCTGATGAGGACCCTAAGTCGAAGGTAATAGCAAATCAGCATAACAATACAAAATACAATACTACACCTGATTTTTTCTTTTTCGAAATTAGATTACGATGATTATGTTTGTTGTGGTACGTAGGCTGAGTCCAAGAAATATGGGGATGTTAAATCTAGGACATTGTATGCGGTAGATCCTAAATATTTTGACTTAGCTGAGCTGAAGAGACAAGCAAGAGTTTGGACAAATGCAAAGAAGAAGCATCCATGGCATGATTCTCCTGCTAAAGTGAAGGTAAATATAGCAAATCAGAAAACAAAATAATAACACTTTTTAGATTTTTTTTTGTTGCTTTTATAGGAATTACAAGAATTATTAAAAAAAAAAATCTTAAACCTTTCTTATATATTTGATGTTTGAAAGGTGAAAACAAAAAATGGTCTTTGCCAATGGAACATAGAATTCACATTGGGATTATATCCTCAAGGAGCCTATGAGATGCTCACTAATCCAAGAAACATAGCATTCTTCAGTCCATCCAACGACGATTCCTCTCGTCATCGTTTGGTATGTTTTTTTTTTTCTCATAATATGTATGATTGAAACTAAAGTATTAATTATATAATACCCAAATTTTGAGAGTGAGTTTTTTTTCCAATAAAGGAAAACAAATCAACAAAAGTTTTGAAGAAAGATGGACCGAGGCAGGTCACAAAGGTGGAGAAAGCTTTGAGATGGAAGCTCCTTAGTTGGTCAGGATCTATCCCGATACATCTAATCATCGACGAAAACCATAAAACTCTTACGGTAGAAAAACCTTATCTATATCCCACACAAGAATCAGTTGTTTTTTGTTCAGTTTTGGGTGAACTAATTTGGCATAACATCTCTTGCTTAGGCAAAATATAAGAAAGAGAAAATGATGTACATGAAAGTGTTGGAAGGTAGCTGGAAAGTGGAGCCATTATACATAGATTCAAAACGCTTGTGCAATCACATTGAGCTCAAGAATTCACAAGAGTACAAAAAATGTAGCGGAGGACAAGGAAGGATTGCATCCAAGGTGACAATGGAAGAGATCTTTGAGCCTTCTTCTCCTTTTAATATCCCACCGTTTTCTTGGATCATCCGTGGGATCACCATTAAAACCACCAAGATTTTGCTCGAAGATCTTAGAAAATTTGTTACTGAAGACAACAACAATAGTCAATAGTTGAAGCCCCCCAAATTCGGTATGGACTGGTTGTGTACATATATATGGTTCACTTTTATTATACATGAAAACCGAATAAGGGAAAAATAAAAATGAACGAAACAAAACAAAATAATATATAGACAAAGTTCACAGATGAGAATTGAGTAACCTATGAGAGATCGATGCTTTCACGCTTTGAAAAAAAAATGAAATTGTTTTAGTGAGATCCAATCCAATAAGGAGAGATTAGTGTTTCCATGGGAGTTCTAACTAGATGATTATCAGCTTTAGTGAGATCCAATCCAATAAGGAGAGATTAATGTATCATTTTTATTTTTAAGTGCTTGAATAAACTTTTTATTTTCTTTAATCTAAAAATATTTACCAAAATAAAAACTTAATTACGGGCAATTTCCATAATTACATTGAAAATAAGTTTTCAACACAAATATAACAGGAAATCTAAAAATTTTCCACCTTTAACATTTTTCATTTGAGTTTTCCGATTTTGCTCTTTAGAAAGGTATTCCTGAATGTTTTTTGTTTGTTAATGTTTCGTAATTTTTCAAGAAGGTATTCAAAATACTAGAATTTAACATCGTTTCATATGATTTAGAAAACTTTCCTAAATTTTTTTTAAATTTCCTAAATTGTGAAAGTGATTCCTGAATTGTGGAAATATTTCTTGAATTGTGTAAAAGCTTCCTGAATTTGAGTTTTATAAATTAACAAAAAAAATTATACAATTTTTAAAGGTTTTCCTAAATATTTGTAATGACTTTCTTAATTTATACGTTTTAGGAAAGTTTTCCTAAATTTACACTTATCTCCTTCCTCGTCTCTGCGACACTCAAACCCTAATTTTCGTCGATTTTTTTTTCCACCATTGTTGTTGTTTTAGCTTGGATTTCTTTAGCTTTTTAACTAATTATGTCAGATCTAATAATAGAGATCCTCTAAAATGAGAATTTCTTTGGCTTTTAAATCAATTATGTCAGATTTGATAATTGAGGTCTTCCAAAAAGCTTCTGATGTCTCTTCCTCCACCTTCTCAACCAGCGACACTGCGGCAAACCTTCTCCTGACGATGTTGCTGCTTTTGATGTCTCTTCCCCTGCCTCCTCCAAAACACTTCCGACATCTTTTCTTCTGCTTTCTCATATAGTCATAGATTTCTTTGAAAGGACAATTTGGTCTACTCTAATGAAAAATGTTATAGAAAGAAATTTTTTAGAGTGCTAGTGTATATTAGGAACAAAAATTTAAATTAAGTGTATAAAATTTAAATTTAAATGAGGGTATAACCATATGGAATAAAATGTTTGTAATTATTTTTGATTAAACTTTTGTCCAAAACAAAAAGAAAATTTTATTTTTGATTTCATAGACGCCTAAAAAGGTAAAGGAAAACATTTACTTGTGCACATGATTTACCATATAATTAAGTTTCTATGCTCATAATGCACGACGTTTTTCTGTAAGAAATAAGCGCAACGTTCTTTAATTTAGCTACATAACATCGTGCTGTTTTTCTCAGTGGTGAACTGTTCCAGTGTTTGAGAGACGTCTCGACTCGCGAATCAATTCCCAATCCTAAAGAGGGTTAAACCCTAACCCCTAATTTGCGAAATCAGGTAATCCTTTTCTTCCAGTTTCTTATATTTTTGGGTTTAGGAGTCTAATTTGTATTGTTTGGTCCAAAAGTTTCAATTTTTTTTTTCTACTGATGCTTCTAGTTTATCATCGAAGCTGTAATTGAAAAGTGCTGTGTAATGTGACTTGAAACGATTTAAATAGGGAAAGATCCGTAAAACTGCAAACTTGAGGTGGTTTTGGATGAGTAAGGATGTTGCATTTTTGAGCAAGAAGTTGATGTTGTGACAATGAAAGTTACTTCGACTGCTTTCCTTTAGAAATGGAAGCAAATACAGGAAAATAGGCGGCTGATTTATGTACATATTGTAAGTATCTTACAGAAACTGCAAACTTGAGGTGTTTTTGGATGATGAAGCAAGAAGTTGCGTTGTGATAATGAAGTTCCTTTGAATGTTTTCCTTCAGAAATGGAAGCAGATGGACAGATATACGCTGCTGATATATCTTCAATAAAGGAAGCTCATGAGCGTATTAAGCCGTATATACATAAAACTCCTGTGCTAACATCTGAATCTTTGAATTCAATCTCTGGAAGAAACTTGTTCTTTAAGTGTGAGTGCTTTCAGAAAGGGTGAGTATACTTATTAGCGAATGAATGTTGCCTTCTCTCTGAAGTTTCTCTCATTGTCCTCACTTTCCTTTTTCTGTTTATTGCGAAAAAGAGGAGCTTTCAAATTCCGTGGAGCTTGCAATGCTGTTATGTCTCTTGATGCAGAACAAGCAGCCAAAGGTGTTGTAACACACAGCAGATTCTGTATACTATAAAAGATTATTGCTATATTCATATGTGCTTATAGGTAATGATAGACATAACAGTGATTTTGGTATTTGATGATTTACTTTTCTACTAGTGGAAACCATGCTGCTGCGTTGTCTTTAGCTGCAAAGTTGGGAACAGTATTCATTGAAAACAAACAGCACGATGTTATGCAGCCAAATTAAAGAACGTTGCGCCGTGGATTCTGAGCATTCACTACATATTATTTGAGAAGTAACATTATTGAAAATAACTGATTTGTCAACACTACAGTCAAAGTTTGTGCTTTTAATTAATGACATGTAAATGTGTCATGTCAAACTTTCTAAAATAAATGAAATGTTTTGATTGGTTGAATTAAAATTATACAAATTATGTAACTAAAACATAAATAAACTAGATTATATTTATAACACTAAAATTAACAAATTTAAATTAACAGAAAATAAAAGTTATTATAATTTCAATTTTTTACATATATTCATAATTTCATAAAATATAATTACGATTTTTTTTCAAATATATATATAATATAATTTTATATAAAAACAAAAAAATAATACTAAATTATCCAAATATAATAGTAAAATTTCTATTTATTAATAATACTTGAAGTATGATATATTTTTATTTTGGAAAGTTATTAATATACAAAATATATTAATAACATCTAACCAAGTTTTAAATAAACAAATAATTAAATAATATAATTTTAAATAAAATACAATCATGATAAAAATAATTTAAAGAATAAAATGTTAAAAATAATATAAAATATTTAACTTTTATTGAATTTTTTTTTTAAATCGTAATTTTAAATAATTCTTCTTTTCAAACCAATATTTACTAAATGAATAAAGTATATACTAATTATTATTTTATAATATTAATAGGACCATATATTTTTCTATAACTTTTATCATCTTTTTATCGTTGTTTTCTAAAATATACATAACTTATGTTACCATCTCATCTTATCTCTTATCATATCTTAAATAAAAATAAAATTTTATATCATATTCGTATATATATATATACATAAATTTATTTTTATTGTATATCAAAATTTTGAGATCATAAATAAAATGAAAAATAACCGAACGAAAGAATAAATTATAATAAAATGAAACAATATGAATAAGAAATAAAAATAGAAGTATATAAAAATAAATTTCTCGCACTTTGTTTTACAAAGTCACTTAAAAACTTTTTAACACGTAAGAGCTATATTTCATTTTTTTACAAATACGCGTACATACATAAATATTAATTGTACATTAGTTGAAGTCACATGCGAACTTTTCTGTGCATGTATTTTGTTAAGATTGATTACAATCTAATTTTTATTTTAATTATTATACAATTTATATTTTTTAAAAAATATTTATCTATTCTAAGTGTAGTGAAGTGGTTGGTATGTCCGCACATGCGTGCCAACCATCTATCCGCTCTTACGAATAAGTAAAAATAGTAAAAACGTTTTCAGTTTAAATTGTAATAAATCAAGAAAAATATATACTTAAAATATATTATATATGCATTTGCAAATTCATATTGTGTAAGACGCAAAAAATATATTATAGATTGTGTAAGGAGAAATAAAGCATACTATAAAAATATTCAAAAAAAAAATTATAAGAATTTAATTATTATTTAACATAACTTTTATATTTGTGATTATATATTATTACAAGCATTATAAAAATAAAAGGTTTTAAAATACATTGGTTTCAGAAAAAAGTTTGTGAAATATTAAAACAATATATATACAAACATATCAATGTTTAAACAACTATTTAACATTTAAATATTACAATTAACTATGTATATCAAAAAAATTATACCCGCACATATGTACGGGCAACCACCTAGTAGAAATTTAATTACAGTAGAACTTCTATAAATTAATATTCGATTATTAATACTTTGATAAATTAATATGGCTGATTCTTATTTTCATTTATGGTTATTGTTTTAATATATATTTGTTTTTGAAAAAACTATTTAATAAATTATTTTGTCATTTATCACAAATGACAAAAAACTCTATTAAAGTTCATTACAATTCAGCTCTGTTTGATTGCAAACAAGAGTGTGTCGTCTTTCCTGTATACATATAGTCATTCAGACATGCATTCTAAAGGTTCGTAAGAATTATATTACTTGGACATGTTATATCTGTTTTTTATTGACATGCTATAAATATATATAGACAAACATATATAGCTTTTAATTTGTATTACTTACAATCAAATTTTATGTAAGATTTGTATAGGCGCAGAGGCAGAAAAGTTTCCATTTGACCACTGCGGTTGGGTGTGTTTTACTGAGTGTCAAGTGGCTCGATATGCAGAAGGTGGAGAGTATCGTTCGCCTAACGATCCCGAAAGATGTTGTTGCCAAATGCCAAAATAATACTACAAAATTAATCTTCTCTCTAGCGGTTGTATTGTTGCATTAATGATCTAAACTATTGGAATTAATATTGTTTCTAATACGTATTCTTTTCTATTTTCTTTTTGCCGTTTAATATAAAGGTAGAAAGGGTATCAAAAATATATTGTAATGCAGACTATGCAGTATTCCAATTGAAAGTTAAACAAACACTACTAAAAATCATAAGAAAACATGGTACATATTAATTTTTATGTGAAAAATCTAGTTAAAAAGATTAAAAAATTGTGTGTTACAGAATAAAGTTATCAGTTAGAAAAAAAGGCCAAATCATAAAAAGAAAAAAATAATAGCGTAAGTCGAGTTGTTATATCTTTATATTCTTAAGGCCAAATCTAGTCCTAATCTTATAGACCATGTGTATGGACATAGAGATTACAAATTAGAAGAGCATGAGGAAGCACCTTGTAGAGAAGAAGAGTGTTGGAACCATATCGTTGATAAAATTAGATGTGTTTGTCTTTGAACCTGCCATTGTTTTCAGATGTAGAAAAAGCTGCTGTTGGTAAAACCTGAAATTCTTGTTAATAAAATGCTAAACTCAAAAAAAAAAAAAATGCTAAACTCAAATTTCTTATAATATAATAATGAAACCAGAGAGAATATTGTGAGAGAATAAAATAATCTTACCGACTTATCCTTTTTGTAATAAAAATTCGTATCGTTAGTATATATATATATATTAAACCTTAAGTACTCTCTATAAACACATTTATTAGATTAACAATCTCATGGGCATTGTTAGTCTATTCGATCAAACGTGAGATGAGAAACGAGAAGCGAAAGACGAGAGAAAAGATAAGGACTGAATTTCCCATTAATTAATAAAGATATACAATACAAACTATACGTAGTAGCTGGCTTATTACAATCATATCTATCTTAATACATTACCAACTAGAATCAGGCAAAAAAGTAAAAGAGGAAACAAAAATATAGAAGTGCGTCCAATGTAAGAAGAAACATGTGTCGTTGGACTTTTTGGCCTTGTAATAGTCAGGGTTAGTTGCTTTTAATCCGAACTCATAGACTGGCTGGAAATCACCTTTGTTTGCTGCGATTTCCAGATCGCACATGTAAGTGGCTGTACTAAAGCCGCTATCTGGAAAATATCACCGCCTCACTCCACCTACTCTACGCACTTGATTAGCGGGGTGAATATCTCTGTCGGCCAATACCGCCACTGCCTCAATGTGCTAAACCTGACACCTAACCACCACCAAAGTCTGAGTTTCGAATCCTACATTTGTGTTTAATTATTTATATTAGAAAACATATAATCATATAATCAAAAATTTAAAAAAATATATTATATAATAAAAAAAAATTTCTTACTAACCTTTTTTTTACTAACTGGTAAAATTTTACTAACCTTACATATTTGAATAGTTAATTCGGTTTGAACGCCACAAAATGTCGACATTGGAGAAATAACACTCCCAATAAGAACTTTCCGGCTGGTCTAGATAAATCCTGGACAGTCGAGATTGTAACACTTATCGATCTTGTATGCATTTTTCTGCAAAAAAGCAAGTAATTAATATATATTAATATATACGATTAAAAATAATTAAACTTATAAAGCCATGGCCAGTCGAGATTGTAACACTTATCGATCTTGTATGCATCTTTCTGCAAAAAAGCAAGTAATTAATATATATTAATATATACGATTAAAAATAATTAAACTTATAAAGTCATGGCTGGTCATCCAGATATATATATATAGGAATAAACCTACATAGCAAAATAGTAAAAGATTTATAATAGATATTTTGTAATTACTAGCCGTTAAAAAAATGATTGTAACTTACTTGCGAGCTTGCCTTAATGCTGTTGAGATTACCTGCATCGTAAGATCCTGAAACGAGCCAAATCTGGCCTAGACTAAATTTGCCAGCATCTTTTATTTTGTGTCTTCGGTTGCCACACACTCATTCTTGCCTTTGGTCGAGTCTTCATATGTCCGATCTCATACTAAACCAAAAACAATAAACCCAAGTTATATTTACTTTTGTTATTGATATAATTGATATTTTATTTTAGTTTTGTCACTATAATAATGAAATAGTAATATCAAAATTTAGTTTTATCTCGTGTTCTCGGTTGAATCTATTCACAGCCTCTGAACTAGTAGTTTCATTGACTGAGTCACCCTCTGTATTAGAACTGTTCTCGTCGGACACTTCGTTCTGTTAAGATGCCAGATTTGCAAGTTTACTTCATCTTCATTTTTTGCCATGCCTGGAAATTTTGTGGGTATTTTCTGTATTCCATAAATATATAAATATTAATAGCTTTTCATTTTCATAAAAGAGCAAGAGAAAATAGATTAATGCGTTAAACTAGTTGAAACGAGTTAATCCTAAAGTAAAAAAAAGTTGAAAAACAATTAGAATAGAAAAACTAATAGGATACCATTTTATTTCACGGGCAGACCTGTTAACTAAACAGGCTTAAATAGGTGAGTTCAGTACAAACCCGTTTATTTTAACACACAACTAAAAAGGATGTAGAAATGGTGTATTTTAATTTTTTTGTTTTTGTTTTGCTTATTTTATTTTTATTATTTGTTGTTGTTTTGATTATTTTTTTTCTTATTTTTTGTTTTTGTTTTGCTTATTTTCTTCTTATTTTTTGCTTTTGTTTTTCTTATTTTCTTCTTATTTTTATAAAGATGTGAATGATTAAATATTAATAATAATAAAAGTCAATATATATAATAATGGTTGTGATGTTATTATTAGACAATATAGTGATGAAGGATGGAAGAGGAGGAAGATGCATGAAAATGCTTCTTGGTTTATATGTATCATTCTTTCAAGGAAGTGAGAACATTACCTACTCAACAAAAACAACATGATAGTTGAGTTAATTTATTTAGTGGTATG